TTAGGCCATAGAGAGCACGTCTCAGTCGAATGACGAGATGCTCCTTGCCAGGGATTTCAAACCCTTGCGGCTGCTCCATGTAGATCTCCTCGTCGAGTTCAGCATACGAGTAAGCATTGCGAACATCAAGACCTAGGATATGCATGTTTTCAAGTGCGCAAAGCCCCAGCATGAGTCTTAGAGACTCGAATCGCACAACGGGTGAAAAGACTTGGTCAAAGTCAATACCTTCGACCTGAGAGAAGCCCTTAGTAACAAGTCACACCTTTATACGACCATCAGGATTTTCGTTGAACACCCACTAGTTAAGGATAACACGGTTGTTTGTTGGTCTGTGGATGTACTCGAAAGTACCATGCTCGCGATGAGCTGTCATCTCACCACACATAATGGCTTTGATCTTCTCCTGAGCTACCTTAGGCAGCTTTTGTATATCCCGCCATGTCAATTCATGCTAGTTCTTGATGTCCGTTAGCTGAACCTCATCTAGAATTGCCTTAGCAACGAGGTAATTCATCAGCTTAACTCCCCCTTCCCACATAGCTGTGCCAGATAAACCTCATCAGTCTTTGGATTCTCAACAGAGTCGTGAGAAGGAGGTGGTGCAGAACTAGGTTTGGAAGTTTGTCCTGTGCACTTAGGCATTCTGGGAGCTTGGGCACCTGGCTTGGGCATCAGCTCATTGTCTCCAGAAGCTTTCCTCCATTCCATGTCAGTATCACGTTGGGTATGGGTGGGCAGGGTGTCCCCATATATACTCCCAGGCTGTTTAGTTTGTGTCCGCTGCCGCTTTCCACGTCCCATCTGAGGTTCTTCCTCTACTGGTGGAGGCGTGGGTTCCCTAGGTGGTGGTGGCGGGCTCAGACTACTCTGTGGAGATGAAGCACGCAACTGTGTCTGCGAGTTCTGACCGTCATCTGAACTATCCGGCCTCCTTTAGGAAGGTTCTTTGGGAGGATGTGATGGAAAATCATTGTCATCATTGTCAACAGTGGTGGAGAAGAGTCTTTCGAGGACTTCTTCTACTTTGGGACTGGCAATGAGGCTGGTAAAGGGTGCCACGCCATCTGTTCCTTATCATGAGGAAACAGCTTCTCGTCAAAGATTGCCTGAGTAGATGTGAAAAGTATGTGATTGGGGAGACGCATAAACAACCAATTGTTAAGGTTGCCGGGAGTGACACCTATGTAGATCATCAATTCTGCTTTTAGTGACTGGGTATTTTTGCGTATTTCTTTAGGAATGTATATGTATGCACCACAGCCAAAGACCTGCAGCTTATCTATGCGCGGAGCCTCACCAAAGAGCATCTCATACGGCGTCAACCATTTAAGGCAGCGTACAGGCATCCTATTGTAAAGATGGACGGCGTGCTGGTTAGAGAATTCCCACCAAAAATGAGGGCAACTAGCTTGAAATCGCAGAGCCTCCCCCTTTTCCGACATAGTGCGGATAAACCGCTCTGCGCGACCGTTCTGTTGGTGAGTGTGCCGAGCACCAGCGATCACCTCAATGCCCTTATTGCAGAGCATCTGCAAGAACTTGTTTGCTGCAAGATTGAGGTTCCCAATCAGTTTGCCTCCTTGATCAGAGCGCCAGCTTTGCAATTTGGTCTTGAATTTACTCCTGACCATGGTAAGGAAGTCTTTGGCAGTGTTAAGCACGTCTGACTTCTTCTTCAGAAGTGTAACCCATGCGTAGGACGTATGATCGTCAATGAATACTACGGTGTACCTGAATTTGGTGTACGACAGGATTGAGAACTCTTTTAAATCAGAATGAATGAGGTCGAACGTGTTGTCAGCGCGTTCTTCGCGGGCAGGAAATTCTCGCGCAGGTGTTTTACCCTCCACGCATCCACTGCACACTGGGTTCTCATCTGGGATGTTTATGTCCTCAGGGAAGCCAACAGTGTTCTTGCGCATTTGACGTAGAATATCACGCAAAGTGTGTCCCATACGGCGGTGCATGATTTCATAGTCCAATGCATGGACCAGCTCGTATTGAATGCTCTTAGCATGAGCAGACAAGGCGGGAAGAATGTAGTAATTCGATCTGGTAGGATTTGCGTCGAAACGCAAGTAGATCTTCCCATCGTGTATAAGCCGTATCTGAATGGCATTACCCTCAACAGTCATACCTTGGTGCAGGAATTGACCGAGAGCTAGTAGACGATCTGCGAGTCCTGGAACATGTCCAACCGGACCAATGCAGACGGTCGTAGAACGACCTTGAAAGTCCTGCATAGAGAGCAAGATGGTACCCCATGCAATAATAGAGGAGTGACCACTATTTGCAGTTATAAGTGTGCGTGGCTCATGAATCTTTACGTAGTCAATGAAGTCGCTGGCATTAGGCATGAAGTGCGACGTGCAACCTGAGTCAAGTAACCATGAGTCGGAATGCGCATGATTGTGCGAGTTTGCAGCTTTGTCTTTTCCTTTGCAAGAAGTACAAGCATTATATTCCAAACTATGTGTACACAGGTATGCAGTCAAGTCCGAATCGTTACAACTATATATGAAGCTATTGGGCGCCTTATGCACCGCTTCCAAACCAACAGATGTGAATGAATCAGCAAATGCTGCAGTTGTAGTGTAAGCTTGGTTGCAAAGAAAAGTAGGACTGACATACGCTTTGCCTTTGCCCTTGCGGGACTGAAAGCCTGCAGACTGCACGATCTCGTCGTCCAAGTCCATCTCCTCGCCAAAGGATGTTCCATCGGGCATGTAGCCCTCGATGAACTCTTCTTCGATGAAGTGGTTGTCTCGAAATGTTGAAGGAGGGTAGGCATAGTGTGGCGGCGCTTGTTGGCGCACGTATCCTCGATCTCTTCATTGTCGCGGTCCTCAGTGCCGTAGGGCTCCTCGTCGGAGAGGTTATCATACACATCCAGAGTAACTTCACGGATGGATGCCTCAGGACGATTGATAGCACTATCTAGGCCACGAAGAGTTTCAGCGGTCCCAGAGACACCAAGTCGCTCTGCAAGCTTGACAGTCTTGGAGAGGATAGGATGGAAAGTGGTCTTCGAGGGCTTGTGAAGCAGCCCAGAAGAATACACACTCTTGAGAGAAAGAGGAGGTTCCTTGGGGTTGTTTGCGGTGTTGAAGACGCGCGGCTCCGGAATAGCATTGAGGTGAGCCATATGGCTAAGGAAATGGTTGTCTTGGTACTCATTAGCCTCGCACAAGTTGTTATTGTTGCCGAAGCCACCACGGCCACGCGACCATGGCCCCGACCACGCTTGCGAGTGCACTGCTTAGTATTGTCCTTGTTCTCGTTGTGCGCGTCGGAGTCATGGCCCTATGACTGCTGCTGCAAATGACCGCGCCCACGACCGCCTCCGCGGCTGCGCTGCTGCTGAAACTGAGGAGCACCATTGTTGCGACAAACGGCAGTAATCTTCTGCACGCCGTCAGAGCGCAAAGCCTTGGGCGCACCATACTTAGCCTGGTATGTGTTCATGGCCCGAGACTTAATCTCATCAGGGTCTATTTTGCTGAGCTCCTTGTCCTGCGAGAGCTGCTGGACAAACCTCATGTAAGAAGGGAGCTTGGAAAGCAATACCATGGTGTGAATGAACTGCGGTATCTCAACACCGAGCTCAGCCATGCGGTGAACGTGCTGGTCAATGCACTCAATGGCCTGAAGCGGGGTACCCATGGCAGGAATGGTGGCGTAGAGGAACTGAAGAAAGACATTGTAGACACCAGCAGTGCCAGACGTGCCATACTCCTTCTTGAGATAAAACCGCATATTGAAAGCGCAGGTTTCCTTGCGGAGCTTGTTTGAGATGGCAGGGATGCAGCGCAGAAGAAGAGCACCACGGACTTGTGAGTCCTTAGTCTTCCAGTCAGTGTCCTCCTTGAGATGGTTCACATAGTTCTTAGTGAGACAACCAAAGTAGTCTTCATGATCGATACACTTCTCAGTGATAGAGACGGGGGCAGCAGTGGTAGTGCCACCAGGTGAAGTAACACCAACACCAGCCACAGAGAACATAGACTTCTTGTTATACTCAAGGTAGTCTTCGATGACGGAGAACTGGCCCTGCTGCATGAGGTAGGCCTCAAACTACTGTGAGAAGAGTGTATAGTTCTCGCCGTTAAGCGACAGAACAAGGTTAGTGAGAATAGAAGAGCCAGAAGACATTGTTGATATCTGGATAGAGCGTCAGCGTCAATCCTCAAGCATACAGACAGAATGTGCAACACCATGTAGCATGACACCAGCTCATCAATGCACAATGGCGACCAACAGGTCTGCGACATTGGTGGACATGTACACAACGGCAAGCTAGCGCTCTGCGACGTTGGCAGACTAAATGATGGCGATCATGAGATCTGCGACATCGTGACCAGGCAAGCCCGGGAGCACCAACTAGTGTGGGCATTGACCGGGGCTCATAACCTGTCAAGCATAGCATACACATAGCGGTACAAGCTCACACAGACTTACTTGGATAGATGGATACAGTGGTAACCAGGTGGAAGTTGGAAGCGAGTGACCTTTACGTAGCATTGCAGAGACAGCAGATATATATGTAGAGGAGCTGGGAGCCTAGCACAATAGTATATAGAATACAGATAAGCCATTAGTAGGGCTGGAGGTACTGAGAAAGGAAACAAGAAATAATCATATGTTCAACATGCAATAGAGCATGTGCTTACTTTACTGAACACACTGCTCAATAAGGCATATAAAGGATCATTGGTAAACCTATGTAGGCTTAGATTGAGTAGTAAAAATATCATGATAATACAATCTCCAAGAGTAGAAAAAGGTCAGGGATGACTCGTTCCTGCCAGCTGGGTGGCCTACTTCTACGAGTGTCTTTTTGCTTGCCTCTCCTGCCCAACCCCACGGCTCACGCACACGGCCTGAGACAAGCCGCCTCTTCCCTGCTATATTAATGCAGCCTGTAGCAGCTGAAAAATGCACCATACTCGGATAGATCAGGGAGTGCTGAGAGGTCCAATAGCAAGAAAGTGTGTGAGAATGTCTTGTCAGTTCTTCGGCTGCGGGGCAGACTTCTTTGAGATAGACACACTTAACAAATGAGTTGTAGATGGACAACAGCAACTCCGGCTCGTCCTCCTCTACGTGTTTGCATGCAAAAGGCTGGAGAAAGCAAGGGAGCCACCAATGCAGGCTGAGTCTTTTTTCTCTCTTGAGCATGTGGCTGACGGCTTGTTAAAATAGGCACTGTGTAGTCGTCCTACTTTTTGGACTGCTAAGTGGCCGGATTGCAAGTGGGGGATGCAGTGCGAGCTGGAACCAGCGACTATGGGAGAGACTTTGATGAGCTGCGCCCCGAATCAGACTGTCCCTGGCCCCCCTTGTCAAATTCTGAGCCGGCCAGGTTCACCAGGTTGGTGGGTGTGTGGGCGCTGAGAGATTTCACTAGTTGCAGTGCTTGCAAAAGTCCAATTCACTAGAGACATGGCATACAACCAGAGTTATAGAAAGCATCAGTATGGTCTACACTTTCCACAGTGAGCACTCACACTGGGTGTTTCCGTCAGAGGTGCTACAAATACTTGCGGGTGAGGCCTGGCTACAGCTCACCATCCCGCAACTGTTACTCATTGTGAGCCTAGCAGCAATAGCATAGGTTAGTAGCAAGGGATTGTGGAAGCCGATGTAATTCACACCTCTTACCATGCGAGGGTGCACTGTCGCATTGGGTAAAAGTCTAGAGAAATAATTAAGATTCACGAAGTCATGAGTGCAATCATCATTCTGGGGGACAAGGCCTAAAGTCCTCCCTTAATACAACTGCAGTAATACAAGGCTGGGTTCCCATAGTGCTAACATATGAAGGTACTACCTTCACAGGTGGCCACTATATACTGAGGGTAGTACCCGTACTATGGCTTGTGTTGCAGCGCATTGAAGAGTAGTCTAGCACAAACATGCCAATAGCTTCATTTTAGATTATGTTAGAAGTTCACCAAGGAGTTTGTGTATGACTGATGGGGTCAAGCGTGTAAGGAAGAAGGTTGTCATTGAAAGCAAGAGTTGTCATTGAAAGCAAGATCCAGCTATTACTGTGTTAGCTGGGTTTGGTGGCTGTTCTGAAAAGTGACATAACTATGCCTGCAGGCTCACAACATTTTTGGAAATGCTTTAATTGCAATGTTCTACACTCTGTGAAATTCTTGCTTATATAAACATTTTTGCCCCGGCATCTAGATTGCGACTCCCATGCTCCATCTAATTTAGGTGTTCCGCCCTCTGAGATATGGTACTAAGCGGCACGCTGCTGCAATCTTGCTGCCAGTAGGTACAGTATGATTATTATCTTGAATATACCTGCTAATACGATCCTTGGGCCTGTAGATTTACGGCACCAATGTAGTAGCTCTGGATGTCAAATCTGCAACTTGAAGTTGCCCATTGGCACCGCTTAGTACTGAGCATGTGCTTACTAAGTGGGTAGACGTCAACAAAAGGCTGGCACTCTGTACAATCTAGAGAAGCATAGCAATAGCTCACAATGGCTGCTTTGTGTCAAGCTAGCATGGAGATTGACTAGCAAGGGAGCTTCAGCAAGGACAAGTGGAAAGTATGTGCAGTGTGCGCATTGTACATTGTCTCCGCTTTCCTGCATCCAATTGCACCTTGGCCAGAACATACAATCAACTGGGGCCAAAATATTATTATTTGACTTTGGAAGTGGTTTGCATGCACTTTAGTACGGACGGAGATATAGAAGGAGATGTAATGTCTGGTATGCAAAGAATAATGTGTCAGAGTGTGAGCCGCGAGGCTCCTACTTATAAGATCTCAGATAGCGGAAAATGTACGGCTTTTGCACGAACTTGTCTATGCAGAGGTCGGGCTATATGGGACATTGCTGCAGAGATGTATTTTGCTGTTAAACAATACTGGCAGTATTTGAACTGAGACAGTGAAGCCATTATACTGTGATTGGTGCAATGATTGCAGACGCTGACAGGCATCTGCGGGTGCCCAAAGGTTTGTATATAGAATATGATGGGCTCACCCCTCAATAGAGCAATCTGTTATGTGCACTCTCGACGGCGTCAAAGCAGCATGTTTGCAAAAAATGGCTGGCTATGTCACCTTCGGCAGTGTTATTGAGAAGTCCTGGAAATATGCCATGGTGTCTTAGTGTAGACTACGGGTGTATGTAACCCAAGGGTGAGCCCGCCAAGTGCGTAGCGCACACACGGTATGGCGAACTTACACTTACCAGTATTCAGACAGTGGAAACAGTAAACCGGAAAAGAAGAAAAATGAGAATAATACATAGGCCAAGGGGGTGACTTTGTGACTAGCTTGAGAGGCACACTAGATTAGGCTGTGTCAGTCGATAAATGTGGCAAGGGCTATGTGACATAAGGGGCAACAGTGGACCAAATGGTGCATGTGCAATAGCTAGTACAATACTCAGCAGCATACGTAGGATGTACACAATACACTCATATACTGTTCCCGATTAGGATCTCAGCCACCCCAACATTTTTGACCCATTGTGAACGGAATATATGAGTAATTGCCTCTTTGAGCAGGTACTAGCAGTCTAGCATCTTCAATACCATACCATACCAGCAACAATTATTTTTCACGAGAGGCTCATACTGTATGAGTGATTTTGCAGGGTGAGTCTGAAAGTCACGTCAACAGGGAACTCGGCCACACCGATCTGATAGAATAGATTGAATGAGTCTCTTGCAGTAAAATCACGGTTTTTGGACCTCATACAATTGTCAGTGCCATATGATATACAAAAAGTCAGGTCCGAGGCCTCACTGATGAGGTATGGGTGAAGAGGAGGGTTAAAGAGTGTGGGCCCAGGTGTTTCCACGCTGGAGCGGGCCTATCGCAACAATTGCTGGCTGATCACACCAAATTTGGACTTCCGGCCTCAATTGTAGTAGACATAGAGGGTTTTAGAACATAAAACCTATATAAAAAGAAAGGTATGTGTTTATAGAGTAATCTGCAACTTTCAGCTCTAAAAAAGACGGTATTTTGGGCAAGCAATTGCCTTGTGGCTGAGTACCACGTGTGGCCAAGTGCCTGATAGATGCCAGTACCGTGAAGGTGGTATACCTGCATCCTCACTATGCCAAACACAATTGCACATCATCATTGAGATCATGAACTAGTGCAAGT